TTTTGAGAGAGGCTGCAAAGTGACTGCTGACGGATAATCTGGAGAGTCTCTCATTTGTTACTACTAGAAAATAGAATGTAAAAGCCTTAAAGGAAAACGTAAACAAAATCTTCATTTGAATGTGTTCAGGACCCAGGATTTCCATCACTACCTTCTAAGAATAACATGTCTTCTTTAAGATGTTTCTAGGTTTTTTCAAGGCTGGCTTACAGGTATGGAAAGGGTAAAAATACAGTTCTGGAAGGCTTTGAACTTTTCCAGCTTCCTAGGGTTTCTGTCTCCCTCACTGGTAGCTGTAGGGGCAGTGGGAAGCAAAGAGAGAGATGAAACCCCCACAGTTTATTGGTTCTCTGCCAAGTGTCAGACAGCTCTTTTTGTCTATCCCTGCTCTGCAATTTCAGAATAAATGGATTAATTGATCACGTCCACTGCCAAAACTGAGAGGAAACTAAGTATCAGGCAAGGAGTATAAATGTCAAGACAGACATCAGACACACCAGTTAACCAATTTAAAGCAGTAGTTTTAACCTTGCCAGCTGCTTCACCATCTCTTTAAGAAGGAGGAAGCAAACCCATTCACAATCCAAATGTGATCCTTTGGCTTTTGCTGAATCGACACAGCATTCACCTTACAAGTGGTATCTGAGGTATGTCGTGTCTACACAGGTCTGCCCATAGGTAATCACTGTTGCGTGCAATCTATGGCCATAGGGTACGGCAGGGTAACTGTTCTGCAATTACAGTCTTTTTAGGAACACAGTTGCTACTCACAGAAAACAATTTGGAAAGCCAAATGTTTTCATAGAGACACTAATTAAAGATAATTACAGAGACAGTAGAATTCTTAATGGTTAGCTCTGCTAATTATCTAGTGGTAGAATATGTGGGGGAAACATTAGCTTAGATAGCAACCTTATGCTCAACCAGACTGAAAGATAATCCATGTGTGAGAAGACAAGAACGTGTGAGACACTATAAGCCTGACACTGAAGTGATGGTGAGAACCATCACATACTCCTCTCTATCTCGGCTGCAGGTCTGCTATTCCCCCTCGGGAACGTCATGCTGCAATTTCACACAACTGAGCCTTTCAACACCTGCTCACTGAGTTTCTCCACGAACATGCACGAGCACACACACACACACGTTACCTCTGTCGGCTTCTGTGCGGAGTCTCTGTCCTGTTTGGGAAAGATTAAGAACATTTAAAAAGTCATGGTTTATAGTCAGTATTCAATTCATTATGGTTACCCTGAGTTAAATTCTGACTGAAATACCCTTCCCTGCCTGTTTTGGTTTTTTTTCCCCGTTAAAAAATAAATCTCTTCAGAGCTGTACTTCACACAGATTAACTCCTGCTTTTTTTGAGGTCAGTGAGCTGACATGAAAATACGGTTGCTTCGGTTTACTTTGCAAAGGATTAGCTGTGTACATCATTAGTGACACGCAGTCTGTTAAGGCACTAATAATGGGCACAGCTGGCTGAGGTGACCCAAAGCAGGAATCAGACAGGGTAGAAGCCAAGTAGATAAAACATCCACAGCCTCCATCCCTTGGCTGTCCCAAATGAACCCTAACCCATGAACTCTAGCTTTCATCATCAAGTTTTGGTTACACTTTCAGTCCTGCCAACATCCCTCCTGAGCTGTAAGGCACAGCTCAGCGGTTTTGGTTTCAGAGAACTTAGGAGCTTTTAGCAGTTCAGGCTGTCAAAAAAAAAAGCACAGGAATTGCCCTGATTTGATGACATTGTTAGAGGCTAGCTGCTTTCGGTCACTTCAAAAGAGACCTAAACTGAAGTTACCACCACACATACAAAGGCTGAGTATTTTGTTCCCAATCACCTAAAACATATAGTCACTCCAAACTGTATTTTATAATGCCTTGCCTTCCAAAATTATTCGCCTTAACCACAGGTAGGAATTGGTAGCAGAATCACAGAATGTCAGGGATTGGAAGGGACCTCAAAGGATCATCTAGTCCAATCCCCCTGCCGCAGCAGGACCACCGAGATCAGATCACACAAGAACGCGTCCAGGCGGGTTTGGAACATCTCCAGAGAAGGAGACTCCACAACCTATCTGGGCAGCCTGTTCCAGTGTTCTGTTACCCTTACTGGGAAGAAGTTCTTCCTCATGTTTAAGCCGAACCTCCTATGTTCCAGCTTATATCCATTTCCCCTTGTCCTATCATGGAATGTCACTGAGAAGAGCCTGGCTCCATCTTCATGGCAGACACCCTTTCCGTATTTATAAACATTAATGAGGTCTCCCCTCAGTCTCCTCTTCTCCAAGCTAAAGAGACCCAGTTCCCTCAGCCTTTCCTCAGAAGGGAGATGCTCCACTCCCTT